CCCGTAACTTTTTTGATTTTGGATTTAGAACAAAATGTCATTAGACATACTTATAGAACTCTTCGCAACGATGCCAGAACTCTATTCAGAACTTGCAAAATATTATTTTCATATGTTTTTTTAATTTGTTAATAACTTTTGAAATTTTGCAGAACTCTTGTTTTTTTAGTAAAGAACTCTAGAACTCTTTATTCTCTTTCAGAATATTAGGTCAGAACTCTTTTTTGCAAAAATCATAGTGCTATGCAAAGTTAGAACTATGATTTTTCATTGTCGCTTTTTTTATTGTTAATCATCAGAACTATTTAAATAATCGTTAGAGAACTCTAGAACTATTACCAAAGTGCCTAGAACTCTTGTAAAATTTTTGATTTTTCAAAAAAGTAGTGCCAACTTTACATGACTGAATAGTTCTGATAATCCGAAGTCATAAACAAATAATTGAAAACACGAGAATTTTTCAAAAAATCTAAAATGTTACGTTACAAGAGTTCTAATTAGAGTTCCGTTAGCCCCCCATCTAGATCAATAAAAAACTCTTATAACAATTTTTTCAAAACCTAAAAACTACAAAACTACAAGACTTTTATGTTTTAAAAGAAATTTTTTTTTTTTCAATTGAAAGTTCTATGAGTTCTAATCAGATTTCTGTGAGCCCCCAATACTGTTCGATAAAATAACTATAATAGGTAACAATTTTCTTAAGACCCAAAAACTACTGAATTACAAGACTTTAAAGTTTCAAAAAAATTCATTTTTTTGTTAAATTTAGAGTTCTAAGAGTTCTGATGAGAGTTCTGCGAGCCCCCAATAGTGTTCGATAAAAAACCCTGAAACCAATTTTTTCAAAACCTAAAAACTATTAAACTACAAGACTTTTATGTTTCAAAAGAAATTTGGTTTTTTTAAATTGAAAGTTCTATGAGTTCTAATCAGAGTTTTGTGAACCCCAAATCTTCAGACAACTACCAATTGCTTGGTCAATAAGCTTTGTTTTACATATATAATTACGCACCATTATGTATATCAACCTAAAAAGAACAATTAAACACTTTTTTAAAATTTGCAATGGCATTAACAGGATTTTACCGTGCCGTATTATCTCTATAACTATCCTTGCCCCTTGAGCGCATATTTCAGTTTTTTTTAAATTTTAAGGAACGACGTGAATTAATTTGAAAATAAATACAATATTCGTGTTCAGCAGGAAATTCCACTCCGAAAAACACTTACGTAAATAAATATTCTGAAACTCTAATATAGAAAACAATATGATAAACATAACGTTGACATTTTAGCAAAATAGACTATTTTCAAAAATAAACTCCTAACTTCGCAAATGTTGACAGATTGACTTCCAATTTTTACTATCATCTTTTGGTGTTAAAATGCGAATATACCATGAATTACTCGATTTTTGAGCATAAGCAAAAACTTACTATCCTTGCCCCATCCTCCCCTGTATAAAAAAATAAAAGTAAAAAAATATATAAAAATTTTAATAAACTATAAAAATTAAATTCATCAGCTAATGTCAGGGTATTTATTGACATTTGATTTTACCAAAAATTATCATACTGATGTCAGATTAACCCTTTAAGTTGTAGTTAAATAAAAGTCAAATTACACATAGATTATGACGTAACTAAATGAGAGAGTAAAAAATGAAACGTCAAAATTTGTTCAAAATGATAGGTGTAAGAGCAAACACAATTATAAAATTACCTTACATTGTTAGGTCAGATGGCAAACTTCACCTCATCATTAAGTCTGCGCGCGGAAATTGTTTGACAAATTTTGACGTCTAGGTCAAAACTGCCCTCAAACTTGACCTAAATTTTTAGGGTAGCGGGAATTCTTTGTCAAATTTTGATGCGTAGGTCAAAACTGCCCTCAAAATTGACCTACATTTTGAGGGTAGCGAAAATTGTTTGTCAAATGTTGACGTCTAGGTCAAAACAGTCCTCAAAATTGACCTAAATTTTTAGGGGAAAACTACAGGTCAACTCTCGACCTGTAGGTCAAAAAATCTTGAAACAGCGGCGGCGATATCTTTTTGTAATATAGAGAGATAATATTATATAATATATTATTATATATTATAATCAGCGACCCTAGAAACCTTAAGGTACCAAGTTTCATAAAAATCCATTAAAAATTTTTTCAACAAACTTTTGGCCCGAACAGTGGAAATCTCGTTGATAGCCAAGGGGTTAATTTGTTAATAACTTTCGAAATTTTGCAGAACTCTTGTTCTTTTGGTAGAGAACTGTAGAACTCTTTATTCTCTTTCAGAATATGAGAACAAAACTCTTTTTTGCATAAATAATAGTTCTATGCAAAGTTAACACCAAGTTTTTTCATTGTCGCTTTTTTTGTCAATCATCAGAACTATTTAAATAATAATCGTTATAGAACTCGAGAACTATTGCTAAAGTGCCCAGAACTCTTGTTAAAATTTTAATTTTTTTAAAAAGTAGTGCCAACTTTACATGACTAAGTGTTTGAACTTATTCAATTATTCAAAAACAAATTAATTTCAAACCTTAAAGTCTTGTAATTCAGTAGTTTTTGGGTTTTGAGAAAATTGTTATTAGGGTTTTTTCTCGAACTCCATGGGTGGCTCACAGAACTCTGATCAGAACTACAAGAACTCTTAATTTAAAAAAAAAAAATTTTTTTGAATCTTCAATGTCTTGTAGTTCAGTAGTTTTTAGGTTTTGAAAAAATTCTTATTAGGGTTTTTTATCAAACACTATTGGGGGTTCACAAAACTCTGATTAGAACTCATAGAACTTTCAATTTAAAAAAACCAAATTTCTTTTGAAACATAAAAGTCTTGTAGTTTAATAGTTTTTAGGTTTTGAAAAAATTGGTTTCAGGGTTTTTTATCGAACACTATTGGGGGCTCGCAGAACTCTCATCAGAACTCTTAGAACTCTAAATTTAACAAAAAAATGAATTTTTTTGAAACTTTAAGGTCTTGTAATTCAGTAGTTTTTGGGTCTTAAGAAAATTGTTACCTATTATAGTTATTTTATCGAACAGTATTGGGGGCTCACAGAAATCTGATTAGAACTCTTGTAACGTAACATTTTAGATTTTTTGAAAAGGAAGGGAACTCTAGAACTCTATTAGAACAACTCAAAACTCTAATTATAAATCCACTTTTTCAATAGTGAGGGACTGCGTGAAGTTGGCCCCCTATTATGAAAAAACTTATTTTTTACTATTTAATTGCCGGAACTATTTCTAAAAACTATCAGGAACTCTAGAACTATTGAAGAAATGTTTTTTATAAATAAATAATTAATAAACAAATTTTGAATTGTGTTAATCTTTGAGCACTAATTGAGCACTAAATAATAGGCTAATTGTAAATATTCTGTTGGCGTTTTTAACGTGTTTTTCGTTATGGTCCGGCCAGCGGATCGCTGAGTTAGTAATAAGCTAATAAGTTAGTTTTTTAAATAAATAATTAATAAACAAATTTTGAATTGTGTTAATCTTTCAGCACTAATTGAGCACTAAATAATATGCTATTGATAACTATTTTGTTGGCGTTTTTAATGTGTTTTTCGTAATGGTGCGGATAGCGGTTCGCTCACTCATTTGAATAAGTTTTTCTTTTAAATAAATAATTAATAAAAAAAATTTTTTATTTTCTTAATCTGCGAACACTATTTGAGCACTAAATTATAGGCTAAGAAAACGAATTATAAAACGAATTTAAAACATTTTTAACGTGTTCACTCTTTCGAAGAAATGTTTTTTATAAATAAATAATTAATAAACAATTTTTTATTGTGTTAATATTTAAGCACTAATTGAGCACTAAATTTTAGGGTATTGATAAATATTTTGTTGTGATTTTTGACGTGTCTGTCGTAATGGTGCGGTTGGCGGATTAGTCACTCAATCGAAAAAAAATTTTTTTTAAATAAATAATTAATTAAAAAATTTTTTATTTTGTTAATCTTTGAGCACTAATTGAGCACTAAATAATAGGCTATCGATAAATATTTTGTTGGTGTTTTTATTGCGTTTTTCGTTATGGTCTGGCTAACGGATTACTCACTCATTCAAAAAATTTTTTTTTTTTTAAATAAATAATTAATAAAAAAATTTTTTATTTTGTTAATCTTTGAGCACTAATTGAGCACTAAATAATAGGCTATTTATAAATATTCTGTTGGCGTTTTTAAAGCGTTTTTCGTTATGGTCCGGCCAGCGGAACGTTCACTCAGCAGAACCATTGTTTTTTTTAAATAAACATTGAGCACTAAATTCGGCAATATGGTACAAAAATAGCACTAATTGAGCACTAATTAATGGTATAATTTAAATTCATTTTTATAAAAGTGGTTCGGCCAGCTTCACAGACCTTACGATATAACAATATATAAGATATTAAAATAATGATTTTATCACTCAGTCATTTTTAATTATTATAAAACATGAAGAAATTGATTACTCCGAGTCGAAGACTCGGAGTGATCGATTTTTTCATGTTTTATAATATTCTTTCCGACTATTCTTGTACTTTCAATCGAATAAAACAATTTTTTTTTTGAATCGTAAAGTCGATGCAAGGCCTGGTGTTAAAATTTTGAAAAATATTGAAATTCGAAAAAAAATTTCGGTTATTTGAACGTTGAGAATTTATTTTAGTGAAGTTCAAAACGTTTAGAATCAACGATTTAGAGGAAAAAATATTTTTTAAACTAAATTTTTACTTGAAAAATTTGTTAAAAAAGTTTTTTGTTCAACTATTTTATTTATTTATTTATTTAACTATTTTAAACAGAAAAATTTGTAAAGAGAAGAATTTTACTATTTTCGGTATAAAAAAATTTGTTTTCTTCAATCGTTGACTATAAACGTTGTAAACTTCACCGACCTGAATATTTTAGGAAAATAATGAATTTGAATAATTAATAAAATTTAATTTTTGCTCATTTAAATATATACTAAGGAAATTGAATTTTCTTTTTTTGCAGGCCAAGCCCAGGTGGCGTCGGTGACAACGGTGTTCAGGGTGTGCGAGGCAAAGGTTTACCACACGTGATTTATTGTCGTCTGTGGCGTTGGCCGGATTTACAGTCGCATCACGAGCTCAGGGCCATCGAACACTGCGAATACGCCTTTACGCAAAAGAGAGACGAAGTCTGCGTGAACCCTTATCATTATCAGCGTATTCAAACGCCAGGTACACAAGAGCTGATATCAAGTCGTCTTCACATGACGACTTAGCACGATTGAGAGAGAGAGAAAGAGAGAGAGAGCGAGCGATATGAGAGCAATGCAAAGAAAAATAAATCCTTGACCTTCGTTGCCTAAGTCCCACTTTACTGAGAGCTCAATGTATAAGTTGCATTTTGAAACGGCGTGTTCCACTTTGCCTATGTGGTCGAAGCATTCTGTCAGAACGAATGCATTTAACATGAAGCTCTTGGTAATATTGCACGTATTTATAAACCAGTTATGGACATTGTTGTGAATCATTACAATTCATTTGTTTATTTTCTTCGAGAAGAAGAAGAAAAAAAACACACAGACACATTTTACATGATTTAATTCAATTATTATAAATCATGTCTTAGATTAAGGTGAAGTATTTCCATTCACGTTAGAATTTTTCACAATTTTATTCTAATTATCATTCTCATTTTCTCATTTGATACTTTTATATTTTTTTTTCTGTTTTCAAATACACATGAATTATTGATATGCAGTTGAGAAAAAGAAATAACACGCGAGAGGAGCGTGCTTGATAGTAAGATAAGGAGTAAAACAAGAAACTTGGTGTTAATTTTGTAATTTATGTTATTACAGTTTTACCAGCCATTTTGGTCCCAAGGCATAATCTTTCCGGGGAGGAATCTGTTCTCTATAATACCTCTCTTGAAGAGCTAAGCGTGAGTGTGCCGGAGAATACAAGCTTTCACGCAACACTAAATCATCAGCACCACAATCAGCAGGGAATCCCTCAATCCCCACAACAGCAGCAACCAAATAATCCATACCAAGGAATGCAGGTACTTTTTCTAATCGTCTTGTTCTCTGATTAGCAGATTTTTCCTTTCTGCGCAAAAATTGATGGGAGAAATTTTATTCCAAAATTGAAATTTTACAATTTTGGGATAAAAATAAAAATTCGACAGAGAAGAATTCTTTGGTTACAATCGACGTAACTTTTCTGAAATTTGATTTTTTCAAAGAATAAATTTCTTCTCTTCTATTTCGTTTATTAACGAAAGATGTAAGACTCGAGTTGAATGGAATACCAGGGTTGCCACAGATCAGGGAAATCAGGAAAAAGTCCAGGGATTTTTATTAAAAGTACTGGAAAAAATTTAATTTTTAGATTTCATAAGAAAATTCTAAACTCTTGGTGTCTTTTTTGTGTTTGCCTCATAAACTATGAAACTACCACGAATTCTAATATAAAACCTTCAAGAAATTTTCTATTTCTAACAAAAATGAATTTTTTAATATTATTTAATTATTTCAAAAGTTTTAACGTAATTATCTTAATAAATAACAAAATTCTTCACAAAACTTCAATTATTTTTAGGAATTTAAATAAAATTCTTTGCAAAATTCAATTATTTTCATAAATTACAATATTCATCGCAAGAATTCAATTATTTTCAAAAGTAATAAAATTCTTCGAAGAAGTTCAATTATTTTAAAAAATTTTAACGAATACCTCGTCAAAAATTCAATTATCTTTACAATTAGCAAAATTTTTTGTCAAAAATACAATTATTTTCAAAAATTTAAATAAAATTCTTTGCAAAATTTCAATTATTTTCAAAAATTTATCATAATTGAAATTGAATAATTTTCAATATTCACTATTTTCATAAATTTTATTAAAAGATTTAATTATTGAAACAAATTTTTGATATAATTCTACGAAAACATTTAATTATTTTCATAAATAATAAAATTTTCATTTAGGAATTCGAATTATTTTCATCACAGAATTTAAAATACTTTTAATACAATTTTAAATAAATTCCTTGACAAATGCAATTAATGTTAAAAATTTTATTAAAACTTGAACAAAAGAATTAAATTTTAAGAAACATTCAATTATTCAATAAAATAATAAAATTCCTTGCAATAATACAAATATTTTCATAAATAACTTTTAATTCGTCGGAGAAAATGAATTATTTTCAAAAATTTTTAAGTAATTCTGCAAAAGAATTTAATTAATCTTGATAAACAAAAAATTCTTCTCATAAAATCAATTATTTTACTGAATTTTACTAAAATTCTTTTCCAAAATTCAATTATTTTAATGAATTTTACTAAAATTCTTTTCCGAAATTCAATTATTTTGATAAATATCAAAATTCATCACAAGAATTCAATTCTTTTGAAAAATAATAAAATACTTTGCAGAAATTAAATTATTTTCAAAATTTTTTAAAAATTCTCGTCAAGAATTAAATTATCTTTATAAATAGATAATTCTTTTCAAGAATTAAATTATTGTAAAAATTTTAATAAAATTCTTGTCAAAATTTCAATTACTTAAACAAAATTTAATAAAATTCTTCGCATGAATTCAATTTTTTACATAAATTATTATTTCAATTCTTCTCAGGAATTCAATTATTTTTAAAAATTTTAATAAAATTCTTCAAAAAGTTTTTAATTATTTTCAAAAATATAAAAAAAAAATTGTTATAAAATTCTTTAAAATAATAAATTTCAGTAAAATTTTAATTAAATTTCTTAAAAAAAATGAAAATATTGTCAAGTTGTTATTAAAATTTTTCGTAAAAATTAAATTTTAAGAAATATTCAATAGATTATTTATTTTTGTATTTAAATTTTTAAATAATTGAATTCTCGTAGAATTTTTTAATAAAAATTGAAAATTAATTTAAAAATTAATTTCGGTTAAAATTCTTCATAATAAATAAAAATTAAAAGCATTAGAGTGTTAATTTTTTTAAATAATTGAATTTTAAAAAAGTTTCAAATTACACATTTTTTTTAAATTCTGAAAATTTGAAATTGAAATATTTAAAATTTTATTTCCCGTGGAAAGTAAAGAAGTAGGGTTTAAAAATTTATTTAACAAAATTATTCAAGTTTTGAATAATTGAATTTAGAAATTAATGAAAGGTCTAGCAAATATAGAATAAAATTTTTGTGACAAAGCCGAATTAAATTCGGTTAAAAAAAATTAAAGGATTTTTTCGACCATTTTTCTATTTTTAATCGACAGAAACGATTTTTCTGTGCTCTGTAAAGTCGATCCGAGGCCTATAATAATGAAAGAAATAATTTTTTAACTTGTGACGATCCAAATCGATATAATGTCATTTTTATTAAATAAAAAATACCGTCGAATTAAATATTAAATATTCAATTAAACATTTTCTATTCAAACGGTATTTCACTACAATCATTGTGAAATCGAATCCACCTCTGGAATATTTTATTTATGAGTGAATTATCTTCATAACATCTTCAACATAATCTCCACAGTATCTAATTATATATATATAAATTTATAATTATGCAAAATTTATGTAACGAGATATAAACTTCCCTTTACAATTTACATAAAGTATATTTTATCTAATTTCATGAAATTAAATTCTCTTTGTAATTTCGAGAATTTTGTATAATTTAAAACGAATTGTATTAAAAAGAAAAAAAAGAATAATATAGATAAACTATAATAGGAATTTTCTTTTGTTTTCAAAAATTTTAATTATTTTATTTTGAAATAGAAGAAAATCCTGAAAATATTATTATTTATCAGGAGATTCGATAATAATGAAAATTTTGATAATGTTTTGTATAGAGCATGCAGGCGACAAGTCCGGCGAGTGTTGGCAGTCTGGGAAGTGTTCAGGGTTCGCCTCACCCTGCTCCAGGCTCGATGGATCCTCCAGCAGACACGCCGCCTCCAGGTTACATAAGTGAAGATGGCGATAATATGGATCACAATGATAACATGTCTCTGTCACGTTTATCACCTAGTCCCGTCGATGCCCAACCAGTGATGTATTGTGAACCTGCTTTTTGGTACGCAAAAAAAAAAACGAGAAATTTATCTTTATTAATAATCACAAATTTTGTATTTTCACGGTTGCCACAGGTCAGGGAAATTAGAAAAAAAATAGAAAAAATGAAATCAGCCAGAAAAACTAGAGAATTTTATAAAAAGTAATTGGAGAAATATGAAACTTCTAGAATTATTGCAAAAAATCTTTTTTTTTCGTGACGAAAAATTATTTTTAAAAAATTCAAAAACCTTGAAGGTTTTTGGAATTTTTTTTCACTTTACAAACTCTTTATAATCACAATAAATTTTAAAACAACACTTTACTTTTTTCTTATTTCTGTCAGGGAGAGAATTTCAGAGAAATTACAAATGATTGCAAAAAGAACTCAATTATTTTCAACAATAATAAAATTTTTCGCAAAAATTCAATTATTTACAAAAATATTAGTAAAATTCTACGCAAACATTTAATTAAAAAATAATAAAAGCTTTCCAGTAATTCAATTATTTACAAAAGTAATAAAATTCATCGCAAAAATTCAATTATGTTAAAAAATTTTTTTAAATTCTCATCAAAATTTCAATTATCTTTAGAAATAATTAAATTTTGCTTCGAAATTCTACACAAACCTTTATTTATTTTCATAAAATAATAAAATTTTCCAAAAGAATTCAATTATTTACAAGAGTAATAAAATTCATTGCAGAAATTCAATTATGTTACAATTTTTGTTTAAATTCTCATCAAAATTTCAATTATCTTTAGAAATAATTAAATTTTTCTTTGAAATTCTAGACAAACCTTTAATTATTTTCATAAAATAATAAAAATTTCACAAGAATTCAATTATTTACAAATTTTTTATAAATTTCTTCACAATCATTCAATTATTTTCATAAATAATAAAACTCATTGCAGAATTTCAATTATTTTTAATACAATTTTAATCAAATTCCTTGAAAAATGTAATTATTCTTAAAAATTTGATCAAAATTCGTCAAAAAAATTTAATTATTTACAAATTTGTTGATAAAATTCTTTTTATGATAATTCAATTCTAAGAAACATTCAATTATTCAATAAATTATTGTTTTTTGTGTTTAAATAATTGAATTCTAGTAGAATTTTCTCATAAAAATTAATTTAAAAATGAATTTCAGTTTAAATTTTAGATAATAATTGAATATTAAAATCATTACAGCGTGAATTTTTAGAAATAATTGAATTTTGAAAAGGTTTCAAAGTAAAATCTTTTGAAAATCTGAATTTTTCATATTTTTAACTAACAGTTATGTAAAATTAATTTTTTTGAGAAAGTTAAATTGAATTTTTTTTAAAATTATGTCAAGTTTTTATATTTTTTAAATATTTAATAGAAGACTTTCCGAATAATGGAAATTTCGTAATATTGAATTGTAGACAAATATGAATTTGAAAATTCTCAAAAAACTTTTTCAAAAATTAATAAAAATAATGGATTTATAGAAAAATTTAGTTAAAAACACTCAAAAAAATTTTAATTTTTGAAATGTTACAAATTATTGCAGAAATTAAATTATTTTCAAGAGTAATGATATTCTTCGTAAAAATGAAATATTGTTCAAAAATATTGGAATTCTTCTTAGGGATTCAGTTATTTTCACAAATAATAAAACTCATCGCAGAATTTCAATTATTTTTAATACAATTTTAATATAGAATTTTTGAAAAATATTGTTATTCTTAAAAATTTGTTAATTTAATATTTTTTAAAAGAATTGAATTTTAAGAAACATTCAATTATTCAATAAATTATTTATTTTTGTATTTAAATTGAATTCTTGTAGAATTTTCTAAAAAAAAAATTGAATAAAAATTGAATTTCTGTTAAAATTTTAGATAATAATTGAATATTAAATGCAATATAGCGTGAATTTTTTGAAATAATTGAATTTTGAAATTAATTTTTTTGAAATAGTTTAATTGAATTTTTTTTATATTATTTCAATTTTTTATTTTTTATTATATATTTAATTGAAGAATTTACGAATAATTGAAATTTCGTAAAACTGTTTAAAAGAAGAAAAATTTTCGTTAGAAATTCTTGAAAATAATAATTAAATTGAAATTATGAAAATAATTTTGAAGAAGTAAAATATTTTTATATAATATAAAATAATGATTCTATCTCTGGACCAACTTTAATTAAAAAATTTAATTTATAGTTTTAAGTGAAATGTTCTCTTATTTGACTCAGAAGTTATTAACTTCTAGACTCTTTCAGTTTTTAATCAAATTTTTGCTTCTGAAAATGATTTTTTTTTTTGTTATTGAAGTCCTCTTTAATTTTTAGATTTTTACATTCTCATAAAAAATGAGAAGCTTTTGTTTTGGTAGATTTTAGAGAAAAAATCGAAATTGGGAAAACAAAATCGAATTTTAGTGGCAACCTTGATTACATTACTAAAAAAAATTGGTTAATTATTTAATTACATTAATTATTTTTTGCAGGTGTTCCATAAGCTATTACGAATTAAATACAAGAGTAGGTGAAACGTTTCATGCTTCTCAACCAAGTATAACTGTAGACGGTTTCACGGATCCAAGTAATTCTGAAAGATTTTGCTTGGGTCTGTTGTCAAATGTTAACCGCAACACGGTCGTTGAACAAACTAGACGACACATCGGTAAAGGTGTCAGATTATATTACATCGGCGGAGAAGTTTTCGCCGAATGCCTCTCAGATTCAAGTATCTTCGTTCAAAGTCCCAATTGCAATCAACGTTATGGCTGGCATCCAGCTACTGTCTGCAAAATACCACCTGGTACCAATTTTTCTATCATTACAAAGAATATTCTCTCACAATTTTTATTTTATCTTCAGGCTTCGCACTTATCTTCTTAAACCTAGCTACTGTTTATTACTTTTTTTACGATTTGCTACTATTTGGATACTTTTTTTATTAGATTCGTGACACTATAGGCTACTTTTCTCTTTTTTTTCTTCTTGAAAATTTGTACTACTTTAAATTTACTGATAATTGGAATAAAAAATTATTCTCAAAGAAATTATTCTAACAAAATTCTTAGAAACAATTTAAAAAAATTTAATAAAATTCTTCGAAAGAATTTAATTGTCTTCAGAAATAATAGAATTCTTGACTGAAATTTATAATTATTTTTTATATCTTCTATTTTAATAAAAAGTTCTCGAATTAATTCAATTATTTAAAAAAAATTATTTTTAATGCAATTTTAAATATCAATTCCTCGAAAAGTGCATTTATTCTTAAAAATTTTATTACAATTCCTAACAAAAAATTCAATTATTTTTCGCAATTTTGATAAAATTAAAGAATTTTATTTTTAATTCAATTATTTTTGTAAATAATAAAATTCTACGAAGGAATTCAATTATTTTCAATACTAATTTTAATAAATTTCCTCTACAAAACTCAATTATTTCCAGTTCAATTTTAATAAAGTTTCTTAAAAGAATTCAATTATTTTTAATTTTAATACAATTTTAATAAAATTAATCGAAAAAATTCAATTATATTAAATTTTTTTTTCTAAAATTCTTCTCAAATATTTAATTATTTAATTTTCAAAATTTTTTATAAAATTTGATTATAAGAATTAAATTATTTTCAATACAATTTTTATTAAATTTCCCTCATAAATTTGATTATTTTCATAAATTATAAATTTTATAACAGGAATTCAATTGTATTATTCGAAATAATTCAATTATATACTTATAAATTTTAATATAATTCTTTTCAAGAATTTCATTAAATTTAACATTATTAAGCATTCAATTATTTTTTAAATTTTAATAAAATTCTTAAAAATTCAATTATTTTCAATAATTTTTATAAAATTCTGCATAAGAATTTAATTATATTCAATACAATTGTAATTAAATTCCTCGAAAGAATTCAAAATTTTTGATAAAAATGCTTCAAAAGACAATTATTATCAAAAACTTTTTTAATAAAATTCTTCTCAAGAATTCAATTATTTTAAAAAGTAATAGAATTTTTCACAGGAATTCAGTTTAAAAAAATATAATGAAATTTGTTGCAAGAATTCAATTATCTTCATAAATAATAAAATTTTTCGCCGGATTTTAATTATTTTTAATAGAATTAATTTAAAAAAGAATTTTTATGATAATTTTAGGTAATAATTGAATATTTGAAGCGTTATAGCATGAATTTTTATAGAAATAATTAAATTTCAAGAGATTTATAAATTAAAATCTTTGAAAATTTATATTGTTGTGAAATTCCAATAATATTAAAATGTTTCTTTTAAATCAATTTATTATTTTTCTAATAATTTATTAATTGAATAATTTGATTTAAAAATAGTAAAAAATATTGAATTTCGGAAGAATAACAAATGTACCTAATTTTTAACAAAAGTTAAATTTCAAATTTTTTATTAGTGTGAAATTATTTAAAATGTTAATTTCTGTGAAAAATTAATAAACGTATTTAAATATTCATTTAACAAAAATTATTCAAGATTCTTTTGAATAATTTAATTTAGAAACTATGAATAAATTTGTCTTTTGAAGAATTGTAACTAAAATTTTTTTTGAATAGTTACATTTTCGTAAATAATTTAAAAATATTAGATTAAATTTCCAATTAATAGGAAATTTTGTCAAATTTAATTGAAATAAATTTTGTATTTTAGAGAATTTTATTTATTTACTTTTAAAAATTATTTTTAAGCATAAAAGTATCTTTGAAGATGTCTTACTAAAAATTTAGAAAATAATTGAATTTTTAAAGAATTTAGAATTGAAGATCAGGATAAAAAGAAAAGTTAATATTTTTTACGGAAATCGGGAAAAAATAAGGGAAATACAGAATCAAATTCTTGTGAATTGACTAAAAGGAGATTTTCTAGTTTTTGAATTAAATTTTTCGATAGCTACTTTTTTACTACTTTTTTCAAAGCTATTTTACTATTTTTTTAAAATTAATTTTCAAGTGCGAAGCTTGCGTCTTTTATTTTCTTTTTTTCATCTCGACTCTTACGTGTATTTAACGTTTAGAAAAATAGATCAAGATTGAACATAATTCTCCGAATTAGTTACACTGTTTCTTTTTCCACTCATTTGCAGGCTGTAATCTGAAAATCTTCAATAATCAAGAGTTTGCTGCTCTACTTTCGCAATCAGTTTCCCAGGGTTTCGAAGCTGTTTATCAACTAACTCGAATGTGCACGATCAGAATGAGTTTCGTGAAGGGTTGGGGTGCTGAGTATCGTCGACAAACCGTGACTTCAACGCCTTGCTGGATCGAGCTGCATTTAAACGGACCGCTTCAGTGGCTTGACAGGGTACTCACGCAAATGGGCTCTCCTCGTTTACCCTGTTCCTCGATGTCTTAAGTATCCTTTAAATTTCTCAGAATAAGTGCGTGTAACACATTATTTCTGAGTGACGAAACGATCTCTAGCTCATTGGTCGATTTCCTCTGCCATGGCAAAAAAATAAATAAATAAAACAGTCCTCGTTAATTAACAGGTACTCAGGTTCGTATTTTGAGATACTCAAAAAAGAAAAAAATACGAAACAGCAATAACTGATCACTACTCCTTTAAAAATAATTCATTTTCTTTTCTACATGTTTCATTTTTAAAAATTTTATCCAAACTCGATATGTCGAGTTTTTTACAGTTTTTTGTTTTAAATTTTAAATCCGAATTTCTTTTTTTTTTGTGTCGCGTAATAATGCATTTATCACTCACTCACATTTTATATCATAGAACACAACGTCAGTCAGGGTGATTTGAAACGATGAGCTGATAAATTTTTAAATCATATAATATAATGCATGTTAAATATATCAGATTACGACGAAAATTAGAATTTTACGTATACACGATATATCAACCGCATTATCGACGTACGGCGCAACGTCGAAATTTGACGGGTCACGCAAAGGGAACGTTACAAAATGGTACTGTATCAATGTTTATGTAGATAGACCATAATATCTTTACAAAATTTAATTAATTTTCTTCCGTTTCGATAGGAATTATTATCAATATACGAAACACTTGAATTTTTTAAAAGTTTTTTCCTCGCTCGTCACATTCTAATTATGATAAAAAATAAATAGATATTCAGAAATATCTAATAGAATTTTTATAATAGTGAAACTAATATTATTCAGGGATCGCAGACCGTGTCACCTTTTCACCTTTTTGTAAATCTTTCAAATATTTTTTAATTTTAACAAATTTGCGTTTACAATTTTCATAAATAGATAAATTTCGAAAGGTTTTAAGTTGAAATTTCATCAAATTTCAATTTTGAATGAATTTTATTAGAAATTTTATTACTTCTAGATTTTTGAAAAATTTTAATAATTCAAATTCTTCTGAAACTAGGTAAATGTTTTAATATATTTTTAATTACTTATTAAAAATAATGGATTTATAGAGGAATTTTAGTTAAAAACACTAAAAAAAAATTGAATTTTGGAGAAGTTACAAATGATTAAAGAAATTAAATAATATTTAAAAATTTTTTTTTTAAATTCTAGTCAAATTTCAATTATCTTTATAAGTAATAAAATTGTTCTCCGAAATTCAATTATTTCCAAAAATTGTAACAAAATTCTTGGCAAAAATTGAGTTATTTTCAAAATTTTAATAAAATTTTTCAAAAGAATTCAATTATTTAAAAAAATTTTAATAAAATTCTTCACAACATTTAATTATTTTCGTAAATAATAAAAATTTCACAGAAATTCTATTATTTACAAATTTTTTAAAAATTTCTTCGAAAATTATTTTCACAAATAACAAAATTCTTCGCAGGAATTCAATTATTTTTATAAATAATAAAATTCTTCTTTAGAAATATAATTATTTTCATAGATAATAAAATTCGCCGCAGAAATTCAATTATATTCAAAAATTTTTAAAAAAAATTGTGGTCAAAATTTCAATTATCTTTATAAATAATAAAATTCTTCTCCAAAATCTAATTATTTTCGAAAAATTTAATAAAATTCTACTCAAAAATTTAATTATTTCCATAAATAATGAAAATTCCACAGGAATTCAATTATTCAAAAATTTGTTGATAAAATTCTTTATAAGATTTAAATTTTCAGAAACATTCAATTATTTAATAAATTATTTATTTTTTATTTAAATAATTGAATTTTTATAGAATGTTCTAATAAAACTTGATTTAAAAATGAATTTTAGTCCAAAGTTTAGTTTATATAATTGAAAATTAAAAGCATTGCAGCATGAATGTTTAGAAATAATTGAATTTTGAAAAGGATTCAAAATAAAATCTTTGAAAATCTAAATTTTTCATACTTTAAACTAACAATTTTGTAGAATTAATATTTTTGAAAAAGTTTAATTGAAGTTTTGTTGAAATAATTTTAAGTTTTTAATTTTTATTTTCTAATATACCTACAATATATAATTCGAAATTCTTCAATTATTGCAGAATTTCCGAATAATCAATTAAATTTCGTAAAATTGAATTGTAAACAAATTAATTTAAAAATTATCAAAGAACTTTTTAAAAAATTATTAAAAATAATTCATTTAAAGAAGAATTTTAGTTAAAAAGTCTAGAAAATAGTAATTGAATTGAAATGATGAAAATAATTTTAAAGAAGTTACAATAACAAATTTTCTTATTATTTTCTTAATCGATTTTGTCACTCGGTCATTTTTATTTTATTATAAAACATTCTTATAAGTTTTTGAATTTAAAAAACGTTTGAATTCTACATTTTTGAAAATCTTAATTCCTATCGAAAAATAATAACTATTAGATATTAATTAAAATTAATTAAAATTTCAGTTGACTCTCAATTTAATTCGTAAAATCTTTTAATCTTTGGATTGGTTCTGTGCTCCCTGTTTATTAAAAAATAAATAAATAAGAAAATAAATAAAAGTAAAAAAAAATTTTAATGTAATGATAAAGTCAAGTGTTTCTTATTTAAATAATAATTTCCAATTTACTGAAAGCGTGATATCGTATATTTTTACAAAAGACGGTACAAACGTACGTCAGTCAATCTTAACGAATTAAAGCAATTATTATATATGCTAATAAAATTCAAGAGTATTTACTCGTTTATAAAAAAAAGAAATAAAAAACGAACTTCTTTGTTTTTAGAAAAACAAAAAATTGAATATTGAAGAGAAAAAAGAAGATTCGTTTGCGTGAAAGACATTTATTGCGCATTCAAATGACAAGAATAAGCTAAGGGAAACACAAACAAGTTCTCCAATTTTTTGGAAGACAATGAAATATTGCTACGTATTATGGTGTCTTATCTTCACTAATAGCTATTCTTACTAAGTGTATGAGAATATTACTTTTTGCTATCGATACGAATGCTACAAGCAACAGACGAACTAATCGAATATCTTATTTACTATCGGCATATAAGAAAGCAAAAAGTTATATATTATATAAAATATATCGACGATCATATTAAGACGTTGCATATAGGATATCGATTTAGAATGTCAGAGGCTAAAAAGAAAGGATTTTATCGGTTTTAATTTTAAAAAAACATTTGAAACGAACTTCTTTCGCTCTTGGATTTCTAATTTTTATACTGATTTTTAGATTTTTTTTTCGTTCAATTTACTAATTGAAGTAAATCGACTTTTCTGTTAAATCTTCTTTTTAAAATAGGAAAAGAGATTTTCAATTTACCACTGATTAATTTGCGTGTCTCAGAAAATTCAAGACGAAACAAATGGAAGTGTTTCAAAGAATATCAAGTTAAAAATTTTAATAATAAGATTATATGGAATTTTTGTTTTATAAAATAGCATTGTCCAAAAGGAAAAAAAAGAGAGAATAATTAAAGGTACGAATAGCTTTGGAAAATTGTGATTTTCAGCTTGAAAGATTTTTTCGGTATTTTTTAAGCAGATAATTTTTATAAGTATTTAATGAAAAAAAGAAAAAAAATTATACATTAGTTGCCATCGATATATTTAAAGAGAATGAGGAAGGAAAATTTTAATAACTTGAGAAGCCCTTGAAGAGTAAATTCTTATTTATAAAAAAAAAAAAGTGTTAGAGATTTCTATTTTATTAAAAAAAAATTTATTATTATATATCATTGGATGTCATTTTAAATATTAATTTCGTCATTTTACGAAGTAAAACAAATTAAGATTACAATTTTAAATATTTAATCGAATAACTTTGGTACACTAAGCGTACAAAATTCTATTCGAGTATTTATGAAGAGAGAAAGAGAGAGAGAGAAAAGAGTTTTTTTTGGGGGGAGAAATTTGAGATCGAATTTTCGGTGATTGAAACTTTGTGTGCCTTTTGTTTTTATTTTTTTTTTGTTTTAGTTTCATGGAGCAACGGTCGCCAATGCATAGATTTTATGAATATACTTTATAGCTCATTTGTCATACGAGGAAAACGGAACAAAGAAAAAAAATCCGAAACAGGAATATTTTGCTAATGAAACACAATTTTTTAAGTCCATAGAAATTTATCGATAAAGTGATACTACCTGCGAATTACGATAATTGTGTTTTCATTTTCTGCATAATAATACAATTTTTAATAACACAGGAAGAAAAAGAAAATAAAATTCCAGAGAGTGATTATACTTTTTGGATATTTCCCGTAGCACGAGTAGTTACGATTCTTTAATGCGAGATTAACAGACGTTGATTTATAGCTTTTACAAAGTTTTATCTTGTCTTCTAGTTTCGTTATATTATCTGAGATTCTCGAGTACGCGAACGATTTACAGGCTCGATTTATGCACAAAAATTTAAAGTGTCGCCAGAGAAAAACGAAGCAATTTATGAATACTACTCTTGGATGATTTCGAAAAAAAGAGAGAGAAAGAAAGAGAGGTGAAAATTTATTAATATAAAAAATTGAAATGATATATTTTATTAACATTTATTATATATTGGATAAAACGAAAGAAAAAAAAAGAGTAACAAATCCGAGAGCAGTATTTAATGTTAAGCATAATGTAAATCGGTTTAATTGTTATGAATTTAATATTAGTAACGAAAACAAAATGTATACGTTTTTATTATTTGATAATCGATATATTTCTATCGAGATTCAAGTCCGCAACTTTTTTTTAAACAGAAAATAACACAAAGTTTTTATTTTTGCTTCAAATTTATGTTTTTCGAGTAGTTTTTTCGAACAATTGTTAAAAAGGAAAAAACAATTAGTTTCTTAAAAAAAAATAAATGAACCATTTCGTTTTTAAAAAAGTTGCCGAATTCAGTCTCGTGTTTTTTTTTAAATTGCTTGTTTGATGAGAAAAAAAAACTGTGTGAAAAAAAACTCTTGTATGTAATATAAGAAAATTATGTAAAAATAATTCCCGAAAATTTTAAATTTTGTGAAAAAGAACTTGAGAGAGAGAGAGAGAGAGAGAGAGAGAGAGAGAGAGAGAGAGAGAGAGAGAGAGAGAGAGAGAGAGAGAGAGAGAGAGAGAGAGAGAGAGAGAGAGAGAGAGAGAGAGAGAGAGAGAGAGAGAGAGAGAGAGAGAGAGAAAGAGAAGAGAGGAATTATTTTCACCGAGAAGAGAATTTGTATAAAAACGATTTTACGTAATTGAAACTTGCCAATTATACAAATTTTCATCAGCGAATTGGAATTCACTGACTCCGTCTGTGTTTTTTTTTAATATAAACAACGTTTGTTTGTTTTTTTATAATTGCAATAATTTTTATCATATTCACAAGTCAGTAAGCGAGTAGTGAATGGTGATATTTTGATAAAAGAAAAATTTTTTGTCTTTTTGTACAAATTAAAATTTTTTTTATCAATTTTGATTGTACAAGAAGTTATCAATTTTGCTAGGCAGGGCGTTTTCGTAGGATTAGATAAAGAAAACTTTGCTAAAAAAAAACTTTAGAGTAGCTGCGGGTTGGGCTTGCACGAGAAACTCTCGGAATACATTTTTTTTTCTTTTGAAAGTAATTTTTTCTTTTTTTACTAAAGATGTAATTTTTTTGAAAAAAGTCAATCGCTCGTGAAAATCCATCTCAAAAATCGTCGGGCAGCTCGAATTCGACTGTGTTTGAATGATTTGAAATAAAAAAGTAAAAACAGAAAAAAATGATCTTATGGAATTGACGCATCGCTCTGTCAAATATTAATTAGCAGTAGCTTACCTTCAGGCAAACTGCCATTAGAATACTGTTGCTCGCAATGGAGCAATACCGATATATTATTGTTGTACTGGTCGAGCCGATCTTTTTTAATCTACCACTGTAGGCCTCGATTTTTTACAAAAAATAATGCCACACTGTGATAAAATACTTGTACTGCTCTTAATAAGCAACCTTCTTACGTATATTGTACTAAAAAAAAAATGTTTAATCACCTAAGATTCGGTGCACTGCGTAGAGAACTCGAAAAAAAAGAAAGAAAGAAATTAGACAATTTTCTCGAAATGGAAAATATATTTTTATTTTGAACCAAAGGTTCCAGTGCGTTAACTTGCCAAAGCTTTGTATTAGTATTGCGATCATTAATTTTTGTGAAGGCAATTACAAAATTTTTTGAAATTACAAAAAAATTGTGTACAGAAACAGAAAGTTTAGAAATTTAATGATATTTTTTTTACTGTTTGGAAAGAATTGTAAAATATCTCTAGATTCGCACATTCTTTAGAGGAGGACATCGATATTTTTAACTAGGAAATCTTTTAAATATTCCTTAAAATTATTTTCATTCGAAAATTTAATTATATCTTCAAAAAAGTAAATTACATTTTGTAAAAAATCGTTTGAAGAAGAAATTGAAAAACTTTTCGAGAAAACAATCAGTTTCAAACTTTTAAAATTCTTCCAAAAAAATTGATTATAGTTCTTTAAATTGTCCTAAAATGCTTTTAATGAATTCAATTATATTCGAAAAATTACATTATAATTCTTTTATGAAACTAATTCTCAGAATTATTTTATCATAATTTTTTGAAAATTTATTTATGTTTAAAAAAAATATAACTGAAATTTTTAATTTAACTAAAATCGACTTTTTATAGACTTATCATAAAAGTTTTGGAGAAAATTTTAATTAAAATTAAAAATTAAATTATTTTTTAATTACAATTTTTTATAAACTTGATAATATTTCTTGTTTTTGAAAAATTCTTTTAAAATAATCATTTTAAAGAAGTTACTAATTTTCAATGTTTCGTAAAATTTCCAATTGTTCACACATAATTCAAAAATCTATTTTCTCTCGACAATTATTTAAAAACGTTTAGAAAAAAAACTGATTTAAAAAATATTTTTATTATAATTTGAAAAAAACCATAAAGTTTGCAATTTTTATAAAGAAAAGTTGAAATTTTTTTTTATTTAAAGAATTGAGTTCTTACAGAAATCTTACAGAAAATTATTAAAAATAATTGATTTAGAGTAGAATTTTCATACAATTAAATTAATAAGATTACTAATTTACAATTCTAGAAAATAACAAAATTTTGGAAGAGTTGCAATTGTAATTTTTAGAAATAATTAAATTTTTGAAGGTTTGAAATTGAAATTAAAAGGATTTTAATTAAAGAACAAATAAAAAGTACCCATTTAAATTTTTATTTAGCAAAATTCTTGTAGAGAAGAAAATATTTTGACCTTTTGAATTTTTGTTTCTCCTAAAAATTAATAGATTTTAAAATCTATGCGTAATTTTGTAGAAAATATGTTTTTATATCCATAAAAAATTACAGAAGAAAAATTTTGATTTTTACTATTATTGAAGCATTTTTAAATTTGAAATTAATTAGAAAAAAATGAATTATCAAATAAAAAATTCAATGACAATAGTATTTTTGTATTTTTATCCAAAAAGCAGTTTCAAAACAAAAAGTTTCTTTTGTTAATTTTTTTAAAACTTATTATTTAAAAAAAATTTTTATTAAAAAGATTTTTTACTTTTTGGATAAAAAAATTATTAAAAAACATAAAGAAATTAATTTTAAAATAAAACAGTGAATAAAAATAGTATTCTTAGCATTTTTATTCTAAAAATACTTTTTTAAATACTTCAAAAATAGTTAAAATAAATTTCCATTCGTCAATTTTTTTGTGGATACAAAAATATATTTTCTACAAAGTTACGCATGGATTTCAAAATCTAATTTTTACTCTTTAGCAAAAATAAAAATTCAAAAGGGGTCAAAATATTTTCTGACCATTGAATTCCTCTTAAAAAAATTCGTATAAAAATAATTTTATGGAATATTTAAAATATTTTCTTGATATAGTTAAAAATATCAATGTAAAATTTTTTTTTGAAAATGAATTTTCGAAAGTAAATTATTAATAATGATTTTTATAAATTTTTAATGATTTTTGATAGTTTTATAATGGTTTTTAATATTTTTTTCGCTTCCTCACAAAGAAGCTGTATACTAATAATTTTTTGAAAATAATTTTTAATAATGTCGCCTTCTTTAAATTTTTTCAATTTACCACCAACAAAATAAGTAAAATATTCAACAAAAAAAAAATATGAATCGAGCAGCCCGCCGATCGCGGTGTAATTCAGAATATTATAATTATGGGACAGTATAAGCGAGAAAAGGAATGAGAGTACGAAAGATTAGATAGCATGAAAGAAGAGTCAAGACGTAAAAAAAAAATTCATGCGTGTGAGACTGTATAATAGTTATAAATAAATGTATATGTTAAGTCCAAAAAAATTGTTTTTATTAGAATTATTATATGTTAAAAAATTGTAATTTATACATTTTTTTTCTCTAAAATTTTCAGCACTTCTTTTTGGCTTTTTGAATATACAACAAATCAACTACATTTCCTATTTTTTTTATGATATTAATTATTAACTGTAAAATCCGATGATCATTTACAGGGAATCATTGAAATTATTGAAAAAATATTGATACTTTATAGAAATGGATGAGAATAGATAAATATTTGAAAAAACATTTTTTTTTGTAGCAATATTCATTTTAATACTGGATAAAAATTTTTTTTCTTTAAATTTCATATGAATACATTGTCAAATATATTTCGATTCATCGTGATAACATGCAGAGGTAACAAATTTCAATTTTTTTACAGCATTAAATCGATCAATCATCAATTTTTTTTTTTGTTTAATGATTCTAAATTAAATCAGTCTACATAATTTGCCTAATTTACATTTTATTAACGGTCTAAACCACGTGCTAAATTCGATATAACTGAAGTTTGCTGTATTACACACCTTGTGCATTACGGCTAATTGCTAATTATTTTATACATAAAATAAAATAAATGTGATTAGTGTGATTCTATACACGGTGGCAGTAAAATTTGCGCAAATTAATGTAAATAATAATTAATAATAATCTAACACTTTTTTCTTTTTGCTTATTTGTTTCTTCTTTTCTTTTAACTTTGTCGATTCCCCTTCGATCTTCACACGTTTACTTTTTAATTTTCTCTTTTTTTTCAGGACACTGACGTTTGTTTTCGGAAATGATTAATTGTTTCTTTCGAAAACGTCCTGCAAAAATCCTCGGGTCATTCATATCGTCGAAGATGTCGGAGCTGTTGTGTTGATTGCATTTGCTTCAATGAAAACATGCTTAATGACAGACCTGCTGTAGCCAAAATGAAAGCAGATGCAACACTTCCACGATCCATCCACGATTTACGATAGATTGTAGACGCTGCGTTCTGAAAAATTTTTTTAATTACGGTAAATTTTTATTTTTTTATTTATATTTATTTTATTTAGGTAATAATTGTTCAGTAGAATAATATTTTTTTGCAATTTATAATTTTGAATTATTTTTTACGAAAAAAGCTGATTTACAAATTTTTGAACGTTCAAATGAACGAAATATTTTTATAAATTATTGATTTTAATACAAATTTAAAAAATTAATTTAACATTTAGAAACATAATAATTGATTTTTTCGATACATGACACAAAATACGTATTAAAATTTTAATTTGAAGAAGAAATAAATAAATTTCGTTCATTTGAACATTCAGAACTTTAGGAACATGAAAAAAGATATTTTACGTGGATGAAGTTCACGTTTATCATTAACGATTGGAAGAAAAAAAGATTTTTTATTCAGAAAACAATAATATTATTCGAAAACAAATTTGTCTCTATTAAATTGTTGTTAACGAATTTTTTACTTTGTAAACAATTTTTGAGACAAAATATTGAATAAAAAACAGTTTTTTTAAAATCGTTGATTATAAACGTTGTGAACTTCTCCAATGTGATTCTTTCTAAAAAAAATATTTCAACTTGGGCGAAGTTCTCAAAGTTAAGGTCAATGATTTAGAAGAAAAAATATTTTTCCACATTTTGTTTGGAGACTTTTTTTCGGGTTTCTTGATCAATAATTTTTAAACGAAAAATTTGTAAACAAATTTTATTGTTTTCGACTTGAAAAATATTCTTTCCTTCAATTGTTGAACATAAACGTAAAATTCACTGTCGTACATTTTATACAAAGTTTTATTCAGAAATTTGAGAAAATAAAAAAATAAAAACAAAATAAAAAATATAATAGAAAAAAATAAAATAAAAGGAAAATAGAAATGAAAAGAAAATAGAAAAAGGAAAATAGAAAAAATTAAAATAGAGTAAAAACTAAAATAGAAAATATAAAAAGCAAATAGAAAAAATTAAAATACATAAAAAATAGAATAGAAAATATAAAAAGAAAATAGAAAAAATTATAATAGAGTAAAAAATAAAATAGAAAATATAAAAAGAAAATAGAAACAATTAAAATAGAATAAAAAGTAAAATATAAAAAAGAAAAAGAAAATAAGAAGGAAAATAGAAAAAATAATAAAAAACTTTTTTAGAAAAAAGTCCACTTTTTGAAATACATACCTGACTTAATGTCAGTTTAAGAGAATAAAGAAACGGTTGCGTTAGATGCATGTCGGCACCTAAGCTCTACGACGCCAGGTTGCACCCTAAAAACAAAAAAAAAGACAATAAATAAATTAGAACAATGAATAAAAAATAAGATGAGATTGTAGTTTTGTTCTATAGTCTCGGGAGTAAAATTGGTATTAATAATCGAAAAAAGCAAACAAGTTTTCTGCGACTGAATAATTGGAAATAATCAGATAAATAAGTGACGTTGGTGTTGTCAAAAACTTTACTGTTTTTAAAAGATAAACACGCAATTTTACTTTCTTAATAAATATCAACTATATAGTAATTAATAAATAAAGAGAAAACAATAATTTTTTTATCAATTAGAATAATAAATTTCTATTAATTAGAAAAATTTAATAAATGTATAGAAATATAGGAAAAAATTTGAAAATTGATGTAATTAAATATTTAAAGTCTTTTGCATTTTCTGTGCTTCAATATTTGAATTAATTTAAATTCATCAAAATTGGAATAAATTTGAAAATTGTAAGAGCAAAATATTTAGAGTTTTTTGTAGTTTTGAATAATTGATTTGAATTAATTTAAATTCTAAAAGCAATTAATTAACAATATAAATAATTTATAATATAATTAATATTTATAATTTATAATAAAACAAAACTATAAAATCAAATATAATTTGAAATTTGAAAGAACTAAATGTCCCAAAAGTTCGGAACGTGCAAATGAACGAATCTTATTTATTTCCTCCTCAAATTCAAATTTAATTTAGGTAATTAATATTTTAATTTAAGTAATTAATATTTAGTTAATTAATTTAATTCATTATTATTCAGTTAATTATTAAAAATTAATTTATAAAAAAGATAATTTTCCAATAGAAAACAATTATTAAAAATTAATGCATAAAGTTACATAATAGTTTATTAAATGTTTTATTTTTAATACAATCTGTAATTTTTAAAAATATTTTACAGCGAAAAAAATGTTTCCTTCTTTTGAACGTTCAGAAATTTTGAATTATATTTAAAGGTTTTTTTGCATTTTCCGTAATAATAATTACATTTTTTTTTTTTTGGTAATTATTAAATATTGCGTAAAAATATGAAACTTGAAATGAAATCATATGATTCTCGTTTACATAATGTCAAAGAATATATTTGCAATTTAAATTAAATACTTCTTTCTGCAAATGTTGAAATTACACTTTCCCTTTTTCATATTTTTCATAACATACCCCAAAAAAAAATTTGTTTTAACTTTTAATAATTACAAATTTGTAAACAAGGAAAAAAAATTTCGAAAAAATTCAAAAATATTTCGAATTTTCTAAATTTTAATAAAAGTCTCTTATCTCCTCGTTTATATTTTTAATTTTTAGAAAAAAAACAAAAATTTTTAAAATTAACATTACCGGAATTGGATGAGTTTGTTATCCTCACACGAGATATTCTTATACACTAAACTTTAGAGGCGCTTCGCTGCAGGGTCAAGCTAATTCAGTGTTCTTTGGCTATTTGCCACCGAGTGGGGTAGGAAAAAGTTTTACACAATCATTCTAGTAATAAACAAATACGTTTTGAATTGAATGAACTTTGTAGCAGCAATTTTCGATTTTCTATTTCCGTCAAAATTTTGAATACATAAAAATTTTTCTTCCCCACTTTTTACTCTTGCAGTTTATTTTTATTTTAGTTTCAATTTTTACTTCCATTTTTTTTTTTTTTGTAAAATTCTGAACATTTATGATCAATGATTGAAAGAAAAAATCGGTGAAGTTCACGTTTATTATCAACGATTAAAAGAAAAAAAAAATTAATAAAATTAATTGTTCACAAATATTTCTTTTGTAAATTAGTGACAAGAAAACTAAACGTAATATTTTCTATACAAAAATTTATAAAAATTTTCTTAGAAAAATATTTTTCTTCTGAAATTGTTGATTATAAACGTTGTGAACTTGGGCAACGTGAAAAAAATATTTTTCATGACGAGAACAATAGAATTTTTTGTTTACAAATCTTTCCTATTCAAATTATTGATCGACAATTATTTTTTAAACAAAAATTTAAAAAAGTTGAATAGAAATTTTTTCTTATGAATCAAAATATTTTTTATACGAAAATGTCTAAAAATTTAAATAGAAAGATATTTTTTCTTTTGAATCAAAACATTTTTTACACAAAAATGTATTAAAATTTAAATAGAAAAATATTTTTTCTCCTAAATCAAAACATTTTATATCCAAAAATGTATAAAAATTTAAATAGAAAAATATTTCTTCTTCTGAATCAAAACATTTTTTATACGAAAATGTCTAAAAATTTAAATAGAAAAATATTTTTCCTCCTGAATCAAAACATTTTTTATACGAAAATGTCTAAAAATTTAAATAGAAAAATATTTTTCCTCTTAATCAAAACATTTTTTATACAAAAATATATAAAAAAATTTAAATAGAAAAATATTTTTACTTCTAAAACGTTGACTATAAACGTTGTGAATTTCAGCAATGAAAAATAATAATAAAATAATTTAAATATCAAAAAAATAAACAAAAAATTTTAATCTTTAAATTTTGACGTTATCAGTTGAAACAATTACGATTAATTTTTTCGACTGCTAATGAATTTTTCCGGTTTATAAAAAAGATAATTAAATGAATCATAAAGGGTTTTTTAAATTCCAGAGATCATTCAGATGCGCACCGAAGTTTGCAAATCTAATGACGCACGAAGTGAATTTTTTAATTGAACGTTTACGCATTTACTTTACTGAGAGGAAAATATCAGAAAAAAATTATCCGATAGGTGTAAGTTGTGAACTTTACATTAAAAAGTTAGGATAAAAATCCCCTTCGTTGTTTTCTTTTCAATTAGTGAGAAAAAAATAATAAGATTAGAATTTTTTATATCAGTAGTATTTTAAAATATTTCTTTCAAAAAAAAAATTCTTGTCTTGATACGCTGGTGATTGTTAACTTACGGATCTATTGTTTGAAAATAAATTTTCGTATAGGAAATTAAGAAATAAAATTAAAAAATAAAATTAACAAATAAAAATAACAAATAAAAATAACAAATAAAAATAAATAGAATAAACAAATTAGCTTTAAAAAAGTAAAAATAATAAAAATAGCAACAATATGTAAATTGTTAAATAAATCTAACATTTTAAATTTAAATAAATAACATTAAATTGTTTCATTTTTTTCACACTTACATTAATTTAAAAAAAAAATTAAAAATTATACGTAAAGATAAAAAGTAAAATGACTCATTTTTTTAATTTTAGAAAATTTCTTGTAATTAAAACCCTAGACTGAAGAAATTTTTTCACGATCCACAAGTTTTGAACGTTCAAATAAACGAAATATTTGTTACTAAAAATATTTTTTATTAATTTCCGCAGGGAATAATAATTGAAATTTAAAATTCTACATCTAGAAACTTTAAAAATTAATTTTTTTTGCTAGGGACTCAAAATTGTAATAAATATTCAATCTAAAGAAGAAATAAATAAATTTCGTTCATTTGAACCTTCAGAACCTATAATTCAGAAAATTCCAAAATTTTATCCAACATAGAAAATATATCAAAATGCGAAACATTTTGGAAAAGCTTCGGTAAAATGTTACATTTTTTTCTACACCATAAATAATGAGAAATTAATTTTACCAGATTCACTGTGTTTACATCAAAGTTTTAAGCGAGAAAAAAAACTTGTTATCACATTTGTAACAAATTTCAACTGGGAAATTAATCCAAAGTGCATATGAATAAAATCGCATGCATTAAAGGTTGCAGAAGATTACTTATCGACGTAAATGTTCCTGGGGAAAGCGCATGTGCCATAGGAATAGATTGTGATGTCTTTAAAATTAAATGTCTCCATGTACAAAGTACAAAATTATATATCACAAATTAAGACAAAGGCATTGTTATGCTTTCACGAGTATACAGAGTCTAGCAATTAATTTTCAATTCTAGAATCATTTGCTTTTATAAACCACAGTTTATTTAAAAATTTTAAAAATGCTCAAAAATTTTTCCTTAACTTTTTTACGTTCAAATGAATGAAAAATTTTCTTTTGCTTTGATATTTTCCAAATTTGTTATACTGAAATGAAAAATAACGTAAATTAAATATTCAATTAGTTATGAATTATTTTCTATAAATATACAAAATAATTTTTTAAACAAAAAATATTTTTTAATATTTCTTTTTCATTTATTTAAATATAATTAAAGTTTCATATAATTATAATTAAAGATTCATATAAGTATAATTAAATTTTAATAAAAGAAAATTAATTTAATTAATATTTAAACAAAATAGTCATTTATTTGAACGTTCAAAATTTTACGAACATGGAAATAATGTAAAATCTTATTGAAAAAACAAAAAAATTATCGAATAAGAAAATATGAAAAGTAGACTATTAATAAACAATTTAAATTGCTAACTAAGTGAACAATTTTTTTCGTCACTATTATTGCGTCTAAAATCGAAATTTTTTCAATGAATTCTATGACATAAGTCACATAAGAAAATTGTTTGACATTTAGATTGTCATTTTATTTATAGAAACACGGTACATAGTGTAAATGATAAATGCAAGCAAAAATTTTAACTTAAAAACAACTTTTAGGTTGAGACAATAAAATGAATGAAAGTTCAGATTAGATAAATTGTCGTTTAATAAATTCCTTGAAAATTTTTAATAATTGCAATTATTCCGATTATTAAATGGAGCAATCAATTAATTTTCATGATAATAATATAATAAGAAATGTATCTGAAAATTGTCGACGTATTCGTTTAAATTCTCTTATTAATAAATTTTATACTAATACATTTTTTTTAAATTTTATTTATTTCTTTAAAAAACAAAAAATAAAATAAATAAGAAAGTAAACTAAATAATAAAAAAGTTTAAGATCTTTATTATTTAAATTATATGGCTTTCTACAAAAAATTATCTCAACATTAAATAATAAAATAAAATAAATATTAAAGTGAAGTAAATAATATAATAAATTAAATAATAAAGTAAAATAAGAAATATAATAAAATAAATATATTATTTATTAATCTTTGTCCTTATTTTGTTAACAGATTTGAAAATAATTCACTAAGCGCAAAATAAACAAACAGGTTTCGATTCGGATTTGTTTACTTGGCGAAATTTAAATTATAAAGAATATAAATAGCATATTTACTACGAATAAAATGCGCCTCGTGCAATTTAATATAAATATAAAATATCTCCGGAATGGCGCCTCAATGATTCATAATATTTGGCGAATAGTGCAAAAGTATATACGCTTCTAGAGTTCATTAGCTCGTAGCAAAATTCTTCACTATCTATTAATTATTGACGAGCAAAGTGCAAATCTCTACACTGATATATTAATAGTTTACAATGAATTTACATTCTTACAAAATTAAACAATATTCAAAGATTTTTATAATCTAAATACAAAAAATGAAATTTTTAAAATTCTTACACTGAAAGTAAAAAATTATTCCATGGGTATTTACTTAATTTTCTCCTCTACAGTAATACGATTCTCGAAAGTTCCATGTTCTGATACAATTTTGCACACAATTTAAAGAAACGATTTTTTTCTTGTACATTAATTTAAATTACTTTCAATGGTAATCATTCTATTTCAATAGATTGACATTCCGTCAAAAAAACATTGCTCCAAAATGGTCAATTTTCAAAATTTGGAGTTAAAAATTCACAAAATTGACAAGCAAAAAAAAGTTGTCATGGAAACGTCAGATTTACGTATATGCACATATGATAAATAAAAGTAGATAAAGAATTAACACTTAAATCTTAACATTTCTCACACTTATCATTGAACTATTTTAAATTAACAACCTTGGCACACATTAATATTGAGAGGGAAAAACAAATAAACTCACCATTTTTTTAACCTCAAAAATAGAAAAAAAAATTTATATTTTAATTTACTTGCAAAGCAACACTTTTCACATACTTTCACACACAAGGGGGAATTCCCCTTTTTTTGTTGATAAAAATAATTTTCTTTCTCTTAGGGGATGGTATTAAAAATATATAAATTTTCAAGGGCGGACCGGTTCAGTTACGTAAGTTGGAGCAATTTTCTATTATTTGCCCAAAAGCACAGGAAATAGTTTACGGAAAATGCAAAAATTATGTGAACAACTTGTTAACACTAACCTTTTACCAAAAATATATTGATAAATGGTAAAAAATAAATGGCTCAATGCCTCGTACCTATCTCTTCTTTCCTAACGTGAACAACACGTTTTCGTGAAGGAAGAATCGCGAAGAAGGACGGAGTCAGCGCCCCCTAATTGAGTTAATTAAAACGGAAGTGAGGTTATGTTGATAAGAACGAGACTTTCTTGATCATAATTTCAATTTTTCTCTCTAATTAATACTTGAAAATGAATCTCACTTTTATTGACATGAAAATTTAAATTTAAATTGGTTTTGTCACGAATCGTATTTTTGTAGAAAAATAAGTCGGTAAGGTAGAACACTGAAGTGTCTGTAGGGCAGTAGATTGGTACTTCTCCGGACCGTATCTAGATGGCGCCACCGACCACTTTTTTGGACTTTAAATTTTTCTGTACTATTCTACTACTCGAATGTTTGTTTACTTACCTAAAAAAATAATTAAAAAACTATAAATATTATGTTCGAAAAGAATTATTCCGGAAAACTTGTTTATTTCTGTATAATATTCACGTGGTTAAAATTCAGTATGTTTCCACACCAGAGTATAGGAGATTAACACATTATACACATCTTGGAATTATTTCCTCCTCCTCCTCCTCGAGACGTCTGTCAAGAAGTCCTTCTCTTTATTATAATAAAGCAAAACTCTTGCTGTATTATAATAGTGCAAAGGAGGAAGAATAAACGCGCACAAATCGAGAAATATGTTTTATACTTACTCGCAGCAAAAGCAGCTTATTATTTACACGCTTTCTTCATTGGCGCCTAAACTTGTCGTTTAAAATGTGTTCTGAACGAGAAAATTGCGTGTGCAAAAGATGGAATTGCTGGTCAGAATAGGGTATATAGTCAGACTTTGCGCGATTGCTAAGAAAACCACACCAGGCACCTGCATACCTCCAGGTGAGAACTTGAAGATATGCCGTGGTCGAGGTGATTGCATTTGTGGCCTGAGTTGGTGTCGAGGAGAATACAAAACAATATATTTTACGCCATGTAATAATGAGAAACTCTTCAGAAAAGTAAATACAGTCTCGAGAGAGTTGTTTTTTCGCGTGCCTAATTAATCCTCATTTCGGCCCGGAAGAAGTGCCTTGAACTCGGCTCAGTCTATTGGAAAACTAGTTCCTTTGAACTATAGATTTTTTTCTACAAAACCTGCGATGACGAATTTGTCACATTTTCGTATACTTCAAATGGATATTCAAGGAAGACATTTATTTATTATTTAGGATTAATTATAAGCAGTTAAATTTACTTTTAGGTTATGACAAAAGAAAATTTTACTGATTCTATACGCAATTTAAATTTAAAAATATTGCAGTTATAAAAATTAAATCTTGTTTTCTATAGAAAAATAATAGGTAATGATCGTAATGATGAAATGGTTATTTTAAATAAAACATTTTCTGCATCGTTAATTAAAAACGGTTAAAAAAATTTTTTCTAACTATTAATAAAAATACTATACAAGTTTGTGAAATAGAAAAAAGCGTGAAATGAATGAATGATACAATTATAAATTGAAAACGAAAACAAAGCGGTCGATGAATAATATATCGTCTTATCGCACACTCACTTCCTCGGGATGTCTCAGTATCATTTCAGTCTCACAAGAACAATTTAACATTTTTTTTGCCTCATAAAAATAAAAATTTACCGAAAATAAAACTATGATAATACAGTTCTTCATTATTTTTATAAATTTAGTCATTGTATTTTGTGGTGAAACCAGTGATGACAGTTTTTGTGCGGCACAACAAAATTGTACGAGTTGTTTACGTACAACAAATTGTGTTTGGTGTTCTCTAACGGTAATTTAAAATTTTCTAATTAATTGATAATTATTGCAAATAATATTTAACCTACTTATTATTAATGTTTAGTTTTGAAATTCTGTTTTTTTTAGACAATCCAACCGATAGTTCGATGTGTGACTAGAGAGAGATACAAAAAAGAAGGCGAATTATGGTGCGCAAAGAAGTCAGAGGTGGTGGATGATTATTCGAAATTGAAAATTATTGAAGATCGTCCGCTTTTGTCAAATAAAGGAAGTGAACCAGTTCAAGTACAACCGCAAAAAATTCGTGTTCGTCTTAGAACAGGTTACGTTCGGATATTGACAATTTTATTTTTTCTCGAAACAAAACAATATTTTTTTCAAAATATTGCAAAATATTAACAAAATTAATAATAAAATATTAGTAAAATAATGGTAAAATTGAAAAATAATTATAAAATAATAGTTAAATAATTTATAATTATTTATAATATAAATTTGAATGCAGCAATTGAATTTTGATACGTCTAGTTCTAAAATAATAACAGCTTTATAATAATCAGAGAGGAAAATTTTGTTTGTAAACATTTTAGGAGAAGAGAAACGTGTAACCTTAAAATACAGTTTAGCGCAAGACTATCCGGTTGATCTCTATTATCTAATGGACCTATCAGCCTCAATGGAAAATAAAAGGGATCAACTCTCCGAACTCGGATTTCAATTGGCAGATGCGATGAGAAAATTGACGTCAAATTTTCGTCTTGGCTTTGGAAGTTTCGTGGATAAAGTTGCCTTGCCGATGACAAACACTCAACCCGAAAGGTAAAGTTAATTTAAATTTAGAAATACTATTAAATTATAGTAAACATTAAATTTAATGAAATTTAATTTAATTATAAATAATAATCTTCAGCAATCAGTTTAATTAAATTAATCTATAAATTTGGTAATCTAGAAAATATTTTGTTTAGATTAGTCATTCCATGCAATTTTATATCGGTTTCAAATTCATGTACTGTTCCTTACGGATATCGAAATCAATTGTTCTTAACTGAGGATGTATCACTATTTAAGGTACTCGACTTTTTTCTATACTATTTTTGATAACATCTCTATAAATAATGAAAAATTTGATTTTTTATATTTTGTCCATGTAAAGAGTATGTAAATTGGTCCCATGTATAAAAACAATTTTAGTCTGCGTGGTAAAAAATGTCACGAAGATCCAAAATAACGTGACGAGGTTTGTGCACCACCCCTAAGTGACTGATTTGATAAATTAGTTAATTGTTCAGTTAACTGATTAATTGAATGACTTTTTTTTGTTTAATTATTAAAAGACACGCGTGAAGCAGGCGTCGATATCGGGAAATATGGACGCACCCGAGGGCGGATTAGATGCAATGCTGCAAGCAATGGTCTGCACGAAGGACATTGGTTGGAGGCCTAAAGCCCGACATCTTATGGTTTTTTCCACAGATGATAAATATCATATTGCTGGCGATGGCAAAGTAATAGAATTTTCAACTTATTATTCATAGTTATAAGCGCATAAATATTGTAATGTAATGATACACTTTAACAGATAATTCATAGTTTTAAATACGGTGAAAATATTCACTGTAATTTATCAGCTTGCAGGCATCGTAGAACCAAATGATGGGCTTTGTCACTTGGACGAAGATGGATATTACACTTATTCGTTGCTTCAAGATTATCCATCAATTGCGCAGGTGAGAGGCTGCTACTTTTCAATTTTTACTTTTAGATCTTCAAGAAAGATGTTAGTTATTTTCGAAATTTAATCATAATTTATTAAATTAATTTATTTATGGAATTTATGCTCGAATTGTTTACTATTTACTTGTTGTCATACTATTGTGTACTTTAAGTCAAATATATCTTTTTTATGGGTGTACATTTAGTAAAAAAAAATGTCTGACCACATCGAGGTTTTTCTACTTAGAAATTGAATTCCTTTCTTTACGAAATTTGAACAATTTTTGAATAAAGAGAAATTTAATATAAATAATAATTCTATGTGGCATTTTCAGATAAATAAAGTGGCACAAGAAAATAACATAAACATCATATTTGCAGTGCCACCTGATGAAAATATTACTTATTATCTTCTGTCGAAAAGTATTTTTGGTTCGTCAATCGGTCTTTTGGAAAATGATTCAACAAATGTTGTTGCATTAATTAGTAATGAATATGAGGTAAGTTTGTTTTATTGTTTAATTGTTTTAATTATAGAATATCTTGGATACAATATGGAGATGCTACACTCTCCACCTGCGAACGCCAAGGTCACCGTTAGATGGCAGTTCAGTTGGCAAAACCAGACTGACACCTAGCGGCGACCTTGACGTTCTCAAGTGGGGAAATTAAACCGCCATTTTATTCCTTACAAATTTTTTACAATTAAAAGGAGCTTGATCTCATTAAATAAATAAAATAAATAAATTTAAAAACGTCACATTCATTGCTGTTTATTACATAGAAAACTATAATCAGGGTTGTCACGCAACCTGGAAAACCTGGAAATGTCAGGGAATTTTATAAACCTTGAAACAACCTGGGAAAGTCTGGGAATTTTTATCAAAATACTGGAAAATTGTTATTTTCTGAAGTTTATTCTTGAAATCTAATCTTACATAATTATCTAAAAATTAATTGAAGTCAATCCTAAGTCTTAATCTTAAGTCCTAAATCTTAATCCTAAGTACAAATGAATTTCAAAAGATTTTAATTTGAAATTTTGTAAAATTTCAATTTTCAATGAATTTAATTGGAAATCGTCTTAAGGAACGTAGATTTTTGAGAAATTTTAATTATTCCAATTCTTCTGAAATTATTTAAATTTTTTAATATATATTTTTAATTGATTATTAAAAATAATGGATTTACAGAAGAATTTAAATTAAAAACACTAAAAGAAATTGAATTTTAAAGCAATTCTTCTTAGAAATTCAATTATTTTCAACAATTTTAATAAAATTTATGGCGAAATTTCAATTATTTTAAAAAACTTTCCTCAATTCAATGATTTTTAATAAATCTACTACTTTAATAAAATTGTCCAAAAGAATTCAATTATTTAAAAAATTTTTTAATAAAATTCTACGCAAACATTTAATTATTTTCTTAAATAATAAAATTTTTTATAGGAATTCAATTATTTCCATAAATAATAAAACACGTCGCAGACTTTCAATTATTTTTAATACAATTTTAATGGAATTCCTCGAAAAATTAAATTATTGTTAAAAATTTTATTAAAATTCATCAAAGAAATTCAATTATTTTAAAAACCTTTTGTTACAATTTATTTGTTAGAATTTAAGTATTATTTTCTATAAAGTTTCAATTAAATTTCTTGAAAAAATTAAATTATTTTCAAAAATTTTAATTAAATTCTTTGTAGTAATTCAATCTTTTTTCAAAATAATTTCAATAAAATTCTTCGTAGAAATTTAAATAATTTCAAAAATTTGTCAAAATTCAATGATTTTCAATGTCTACTATTTCAATAAAATTTCATAAAAGAATTCAATTATTTAAAAAGACATTTTAATAAAATTCGTCCCAAGAATAAAATAATTTACAAAAATTCTCGTCAAAATTTCAATAATCTTTTATATATTTTTCTCCGGAATTCAATTATTTTCAAAAATTTTAATAACTTTCTTGGCAAAATTTCAATTATTTTCAAAAACTCTTAAAAAATTCTTTGGAGAAATTCAATTATTTTAATTATAATTTTAATCAAATTTACGAAAAATTAACTTATTTTTAAAAATTTTATTAAGATTTGTCAAGAGAAATAAAATATTTAAAAATTTGTTGAGAAAATTCTTTCTGAGAGTTCAATTTTACAAAATATTCAAATATTCAATAAATTATTCATTTTTGTATTTCAATAATTGAATTCTCGTGGATTTTTTTTTAGTAAATATTGATTTAAAAATTAATTTCAGTTAAAATTTTACATTACGATTGAATGTTGAAAGCTAATAGCGTAAATTTTGATAAATAATTGAATTTTGAAAAGATTTCAAATTAAAATCTTTGAAAACTTTAACTTTTCGTACTTTTTGAATTGAATTAAAAATAATTTTAGAGAAAGTCAGGGAATTTGAAATGAGGAAAAGCCTGATGGTAACCCTGATAATAAAAATTGTAGTTTTAATTTTACTTATATAAATTAATGTTTAATATTATTCGTAAAAAATAGAAATTGGTAAGTTCTGTGACAATGTCGGACAATGCAACAAAAGCAGTTGACATAAAGTACTTTTCGAGATGTTTGGAAAAATCTGATGACTTGAAGGAAAGTCGTGTATGCGAGGGACTTCGTGTCGGTAATGTCGTCGAATTTGAAATAATTCTAAAGGTGACTACCTTTAATATTTTATTAATTAATTACTAAATTAATTAAAAATTATTCTCCTTTTTTCGAAATTATATTAATATATAGGGGAGAGTCTCTAGTTGTGAGACACCTCCAGTTGTGAGACAGTCAATTTTTTTTAACATGCAATATTAAAAAGCCGATTGGTTTATATAAAAACATTTCTTTTTATATGAGCCAACTTTTTCGTGTACGCCGAAGCGGATATATAAACTGTTTTTGTTAAATACCAACACTGTGTGTGATAATCGACTAAAAAGCGTTTTTTCAATAAATACAAAGTACTTTTTTTCCAAGTTAATTAATTCGAAAAGGTAAATTTAATGCATTTTCTTTTAGTGTTTTCCTTATATTTTGTGATGCAATATTGCATTGTTCCAATCTACGGTTGAAAATAATTTAATTTTCCTTTTTCAAAATAGCGCCAATTTCTGGGTGTGAGACACAGCATATCACCAGTTGTGAGACGGTGTCAACACCCATCTGGGCAGCATAAAAAATACGACTTTGCAGGCATACTATTTAAATGTTGTTTTGATTTCTTTTTCTAGTATTTTTGGGCATGTCAAGTGGAAAAAAGTCAATTGATTCAGAAGAAATCAATTTTAATGCTCTTGTTGAAGCTATTAAATGATGTTTATTTGATAGACATATTTTGGCGAATAAATATTATTATTTAGTATATAATAATATATATTATTAATATATTTAATTATTTATACTAAACATAACTTTTTGTGTCAAACTTATTAAATTTTAGCAATTTTTAATGAGTGTCTCACAACTGGAGACATTTTTTTTTTTTGAAAAAAGCGATGTGCTCGGAAAATGTATCGTAAAATTTTTTGAGTTCATCGAAACACTATACTTTCTTTTAATAAAAGTTGCGTATTTCTGTTACCTTTCGAACAGTGTATTTTATTATCAATTTCGTTTACCCGTTTACAATTTACGGGTCAAAAATGAAACCCGTCTCACAACTGGAGACTCTCCCCTAATTTAAGGGCAATTGGGAGAAAATAGTCATTTAATTTGACAAAAATTTTTTCCAACAAACAGGCGTTAAATTGTCCCGAGAATCCAGACGAATGGCAACAAAATATTCAAATACGACCCACGGGTCTTGACGAGAGTCTCACTATTGACTTGCAAATAATTTGTGACTGTCCCTGCGATAGAGACGATCATTCGGTATGAAGTTTTTCAAGACTAAGAATTTTATTTCATTCTTCGATTTTTTTTTTTTTTTTGCTTCATTAGGAATTACAAATTATTTTCTATTGTCAATAGAATAATATACCGGAGAGTTCAAGTTGCAAAGGAAATGGCACATTAATTTGTGGCACTTGTTACTGTAATCCTGGATTTTATGGTAAATTTTGCGAGTGTAAGGGAAATATGCACGATAATGAGCCGGTGAAAGATGACTGCAGTCCAAATGGAGAGGAGAAAATTTGCAGTGGACGTGGAACGTGCAAGTGTGGAGTTTGTGACTGTGCAAAACGTGCTAATTCGAGGGAATTTTTCTATGGAAAATATTGCGAGTGTGATAATTTCTCCTGTAAACGAAACAGTGCAAAATTGGTAAGAGGACAATTGCAGTAATTAATAATTGAATTTCGCAGAAGGATTTTATTATTTATAAAGATAATTGAAATTTTGACTAGAAGTTTTCAAAATTTTTGAACATAGTTAAATTTCTGCAATAATTTTTAACTTCTCTAAAATTCAATTTTTTTACTGTTTTAACTAAAATTCTTCTATAAATTCATTATTTTTAATAACTAATTAAATATTAGATGACCTGTGGCGCAATTCTAAATTATTTTCTTATTCACTTTATTATTTAATCTATTTTTTCATTTTACATATATTAAAAATATAAATACTTATATAGAAATGAAAACACAGCATCAATTTATTTTCGATTTATTAGGGTTTTAATTTTAAATATGAAATTGCGCCTTCTAAACATTATTTATATATATATTTGTTGAGAGAAGATTGCTGTGCGTATGATTTTTGTTTTCCTTTGCTTCATTTTAAAAGAAAATGGGAAAATAACTGTAGTAAATTTGCCTCATGGGAAAAATAAGTATTAACACCTAGAATTTTTAAGCGAAATTTTTGCTTTATTCTAATATCAAGATTCATCTTCATCAGGTTTGCGGTGGACGAGGTAAGTGTGAATGCGGCACGTGCAATTGCTTTCCAGGTTGGACTGGTGATACTTGCGATTGCAAGGAAACTAATAGAACGTGTAAGCCGACGGAGGAAACAAACGAAATTTGCAGTGGTCATGGTGATTGCGTTTGTGGAAAGTGTCATTGTCATCAGAAGGGAAATATTCGTTACTCGGGCCAATTTTGCGAAGATTGTCCGGTTTGTATTTTTTGCAAATTCAAATTTAAATATATTGTTCGCAGTTTTCTTAAGAATATCAAATTGAGACAAAAAACAAATAAAAAAAATATTTGCATCGCAACAAGTTCAAACTTTGCACTCGATAATTAATTTTAAAAAAGCAGCAAAAAGTAGCTTTAAAACTAAAAAAAGTAGCTTTCGAAAAATGAAACGACGATAAAGAAAAACACGTTTTAGACACTTCACAAAACTGACAAAAATTTCATTCGATACATATTTTTTATTTTTCTGCCTTTTTTCTAGTTTTCATCAAAAATATTTACTTCTTTCTTATCCTGCGAATAAATTCAATTCCTGCAACGAATTTTATTATTCATGAAAGAATTCAAATATTTATAAAAATAATTGAATTCTTGCGAAGAATTTTATAAACATTTTTAAATAATTGATTTTTTTCGACTAATTTTATGCAATTTCTAATTTAAATAATATTGAATTCTTAAGAAATTTTTATTATTCATGAAAAAAATTGAATTCTTACGAAGAATTTACAAAGAATTTTTAAATAATTGAATTCTGTTTGTAAATTTTATGACAATAATTGAATTCTTGCAAACGATTTTATTAGAATTTTTGAAAATAATTGAATTCCTGTGAAAAATTGTAATATTTTTGTAAATAATTGAATTCTTGTAATGAATATTGTTATTTATGAAAATAATTGAATTTTGCAAAGAATTTTATTAAAATGCCTCAAAATAATTGAATTGTCGGGAATAATTTTGTTATTTATCGACATAATTGAATTCTTTCGGACTATTATTTATGTAAATAATTGAATTTTTGGAAATAATTTTATTAAACTTTAAAAGAACAATTGAATTATTTCAAAAAAATTTAAATAAAAATGTATTTGATATAATTGATTTCTTTCGAACAATTTTATTAAAATATTTGAAAATAATTGAATTCCTGTGAAAAATTGTAATATTTTTGTAAATAATTGAATTCTTCCAAAGAATTTAAAAAAAACATTTTTTTAAATTATTACTTCTTTCAAAAAATTGAAATTAAATTTTTAAGAATAATTACATTTTTTGATCAATTCCTGAAAAATTGTATTAAAAATAATTGAAATCCTTCAATGAATTTTATTATTTAAGAAAATAATTGAATAGTTGCTAAGAATTTTAGTAAAATTTTCAAAAATAATTGAATTCCTGAGAAGAATTTTAATATTTATAAAAATAATTGAATTATTGCTAAAAATTTTATTAAAATGTTTAAAAAGAATTGAATTTCTGTGAAAATTTTCGTTATTTTTCAAAATAATTGAATTTTGCAAAGAATTTTTATTACATTTTTTTAAATAATTGAAATCCTGTGAAGAATTTTATTATTTAAGAGAATAATTTAATTCTTGCAATAAATTGTTATTAAATTTTTTTAAAAATAATTGAATTCTTGGGAAGAATTATTTATGTAAATTATTGAATTCTTGGGAAGAATTTTATAAAAATCTAAGAGATAATTGAATTCTTGCAATAAAATTTAATTAAAATTGCATTTAAATTAATTTATTTTATTCGAACAATTTTATTAAAATATTTGAAAATAATTGAATTTCTATAAAAAATTCTAATATTTTTGTAAAGATCCGAATTGAATTCTTCCAAAGAATTTTAAAAAACCTTTTTTTTTAAATTATTGGTTCTTTCGAGGAATTGAAATTAAATTTTTAAGAATAATTATATTTTTTGAGCAATTCCTATAAAATTGTATTAAAAATAATTGAAATTCTGCAATGAATTTTCATATTTTTAAAAATAATTGGATAGTTGCTAAGAATTTGATTAAAATTTTCAAAAATAATTGAATTCCTGAAAAGAATTTTGTTATTTATGAAAATAATTGAATTATTGCGAAAATTTTTGTTATTTTTTAAAATAATTGAATTCTTCATAAGAATTTCATAAACATTGATTTAAATAATTAATTTTTTCGAAATATAATAAATATTATGAAAATTTTTATTTTAAATAATTTAATTCTTGTGAAAACTTTATATGTGAAAATAATTGAATTCTTCGATTAAATAATTTAAAATAGTATTAAAGATAATTGAAATTCTTCGATGAGTTTTATTATTTATGAAAGTAATTAAATTCTTGCTTAGAATTTTATCAAAAATTTTTTTTAAAAATTGAATTTCTATGAAAAATGTTACTATTAGTGAAAGTATTTCGAATATTTTTTGAAAATAATTGAATCGTTTTAAAGAATTTGATTATAATTTTTGAGAATAGTTTTTTGATTTCTATTATTAGCGAATTTAAAGTAGTGGAAATTCTCTAAAAAAAAATAAAAAAAAACAGAAATAGTAGCTTTTAGTGGCTGAAATCTAAAAAAAAGTTCCCAAATAGTAGCATAACATAAAAAAAGTAGTAAATATAGTAGGTTTTAGTAGATGAGTACGAAGCCTGCAATTTTGATTTGTTTTTGTTTTTTTTGTTTTTTATTTATAATAAATTTTTACTTTTATTCTTCTTAGACCTGTCCGGAGAAATTGTGCGAAGAATTCAAGGACTGTGTCGAATGTTTTGTGCATAATTCGGGTCCACTTGCTGCCGAAAATGGATGTGAATCGTGTCCACACCATATTGCCGTTGTAAGAAAAAAATGTATCAGAAATTAAAAGAATTTTTTTTTTTTTTTGAGAAATAAATATAATTTTGGTAAAGAAACATTTATATAAATTCTTTTTTTCTTCCAGGTAAAAGAGCTGCAAGACGAGGCCACTGAGAAAGAAACTGGATCGCAAATTTGCAAAGTTCCTGGAGATGGTGATTGTACTTTTGCCTTCAAATACAAATCCCATCGAGAGAGCACTGGGGATGATATAAAAGCTTACGAAATCACTGCCCGCAAAAGCAAAGAATGCCCTGAACCAGTAAACGCAATGGGTAAATAATTTCTTTTGTAAATTTTATTACTTTTTCAATTTAGTTTCAATTTTTTATTAAAAATATTGAATTTAAAAAAAAATAATAATAATTAGCTATAAATATATATTATGGAATAAATAAAACAAATTTAAATAGACAACTTAATTTGAGTTTAACAAAAGAAAAAAGAATTATGATAAAAATTTTTTATAGGAGTTGCAATCGGAGTTATTATAACTACCGTAATTCTTGGACTGCTAGTTCTTGTTGTTTGGAAAGTATTGACAGAAATTCATGATAAGAGGGAATTCGCGAAATTCGAGAACGAGCGAACGCAAGAAAAATGGAGTCAGGTATTTAATAGAAATTTAATTTTATATAAATTTGTTTGATTCATTATTTAAGTAATTTAGAAAAAATAATAATTATTAATTAGTAAAATAATTTGACCAATTTTTTCAGCAAGACAATCCGCTGTACAAGCAAGCGACTACAACATTTGACAATCCAACATTCAGTAGTCTATACAAGGATTCATATTCCGACGATTAATAATTTTCAAAAATGTAAAAATAAACATTATTTTGCCAAATTACCAAACTTCTTTCTTTTTAACAATGTACATAGAAAAATATTGAGATATTTCTTTTGTTGTAGTTATTCAAAGAAAACATAAATGTCTCGAAGAGTGAATAAGAAGAATATATACCGCGATGATATTCCAAGAAAAAAAAGAGATTCTTTTGTTTCATTTTCGGACTTGCGACTCCTTAATTAAGATGTTTTTTTCAAGACGAGGCTTCGACACTTTGACCATTATTCCTCTTCTCGGAATGTTTTCAAGTAGGTATAAGGGAAGTGCCGTCAAAGTAATCAATTTTTACCTTCGTACTCTCTGCCAGAACAGCGGTATAATATTCTTTTGCTTTTGCGCCAGCAATATAATAATTCAGCGATGAGAATTGAGGGTCAAAGAATAATCGGGGGAAAAAAGAGGAAATATAATAAAAGCGAATGTCTTTTAATAATTACTGTTTATATACTTGAACAATAGTTATTAAAAGGAATATTCGTTGAACGAATTTAAAAGAGATTATTGTTTGTTGAAGAATGTATAGAGTAAAGGGGAATAATTTTTGAAAAACGGGACTGTTAATTATTACTCTCTTATTTATTACTCAAATCCGAATAATTAGTACAAAAGTCGTCAACTCAGAGTTTTTCTTAAAATTTTTTAATTGAATTTTTAAATTGAATTTTTGCAAAGTTTTTTTTTTGAAAATTCTGCAAAATAAGATTTTTGAAATTTTTCAATTCTATTGTTTCAAGATAATTGCATTTTTATAAACAAATAATTGGAAATTTTTGAAATAATTGAAATTTCTTTACATTCTATTAAAAATAATTGAATTCTTTTAAAGAATTTTATTTAAATTTTTCAAAAATAATCAAGGGAAGTTTGTCACCGTAATTATAATTTTATTTTTAAAAAATTTCTTAGCAATATATCTTCAATTATTTTTATAAATAGTAAAACTCATTGCAGAATTTCAATTACTTTTTAATACAATTTTAATCAAATTCCTCGAAAAATGTGATTATTTTTCAAAATTTCATTAAAATTCGTCGAAAGAATTCAATTATTTCCGCATAAATATCAAAATTCTTCAGATTTACTAAATTCTTTTGAATATTATTTTTAAAAAAAAAATCTACACAAGAATTTAATTATTCTCATAAATTTCCATAAAATTCTAAAAAATAATTCAATTTTTTTCAAAAGTAATAAAATTCTTCACAAACATTCAATTATCTTTAAAATTCTTTAAAAATTCTCAAAATTGTAATAAAATTGAATTAATCAAATTTTCAATTATAGTTATGAACAGACAAGATTATTTTAAGAAATTAAAAAAATTCTTTGTTAAATTAAATTATTTTCCAAATTTTTAATTAAAATTATTAAAAATAATATTATTTTCAAAAAATTTAAAGAAACTCGTAGACATTCTGTTAGAGAACGAAAATTGTATATTATTAATTCTAAAAAGCATATTACGTATAAAAATATCTAAAAAGCATGTAAGCATATTTTAGAAAAACATTTTTACATTGTAAAATATTACATTGTAAAAAAAATTACACGTATAACAGAAATTTTATTACAGCTTATTAATTTATAGCAAATATCACGAAAAAAAAACAAAATTGCAAATTGAAACAAGAGGGTACCAATTTAGAACCGGTTTCGGATACTAAATCTTCATTTGTTTTATTCCGATCCCTGAAATCCGCTCTGATTTGAAAAACCCTTGTTTCAAATTTACAATTCTTTTTTGCAAGTTGTTTTATTAACTATATCGTTAAAATACAAAAAATAATATCAATTTAATTCTCATTTCCTCTAAATTATGAATTATGAAGCTGAAACTGCTTAATTTTTCAAAATTTTATTTTGGATTTGAACAAAAAAAAATATAACTTTAAAAATTAAGTGGGTGTTAGTTTCACTCTCTTTCCTGAATTAGTATAAATTTCTACTAACAAATAGTAAAATTTCACTAATTGCTAGTGAAAATATTACTAAATCATTTGGTGGATAACTTTTCGTCATTTTATTAGTAATTTTCTACTACAAATTCAAAATTAGACTTACGGCCAGATTAATAAATTATAAAAGCAGTAAACATTAAGAAAATATTTATTAGAAATCCAAAGAAACAAATTTCAGATGGAATTTTTTATCTAAAAGCTGAATATTTTTGGCCGATTTAATTGTATGCTTGCTCTACTTAAAAATAGATTTTAATTATTTCAAAACAAATTAAATTGGTGAAAATTTTTTTTAATATCATTAAAATCTATTTTTAAGTATAGAACAAGTATACTTTTGGTATGGAAACTTTATCTGAAGACATCATTTTTGTCTGACCTAATCGTATGCTTGTTCTACTTAAAATAAGATTTTAATTATATTAAAAAAAATTTCTAAAAAAATTTAATTTGTTTTAAAATGATTAAAATCTATATTTTTAAGTAGAACAAACATACGATTAGGTCGGACAAATATTATGTCTTTAGATAAAGTTTTCATACTAAAAGTTGAAATTTAAATTTTAAAAAGAGAAAAACGATTGCTGACAGAGAAAATATTTTAAGGGGATATAATTAGTTTTGCCAAGGGAAACATGATTTTTTAAGTAGATAAAGAATAGTCACTGACAGACAAAATATTTCAGTAGATAAAGGCCTCTTCATCTTTATTATATTAAAACTTTTTTTTTTGTAGGAAAATTATAGTTTTTATCAACTAAACATTTTTGAAAAATTGAAATTTTATTTAAGTGGAAAAGGAAAATTTATTGTCAGCCAAACCATTTTGGTACATTTTTATTTAAACAATAAATAAATAATTAATAAAATTATTCTTTTCAAATTTAAATGTATTTAAAATTTTAATGAATAACTACTAATAATTATTATTACTAATAATTAAAATATCTTTCCAGTAGAAAAGGATACTTATTGTCAGACAGCTTATTTTTGTAAATACAACGCAGTTTTTCTATAAAAACAGTTGTAAATAAATAATATAAATAATTAAATTCAATTTTGCTTAATATTTGAAAATTACTTTTAAGTAGAAAAGGACAGTTATTATCAGACAAATAATTTTTGTGAATACAACAGTTTTTCTATAAAAACAGTTGTAAATAAATAATATAAATAATTAAATTCAATTTTTCTTAATATTTGAAAATTACTTTTAAGTAGAAAAGGACACTTATTGTCAGACAAGTAATTTTTGTGAACACAACAGTTTTTCTATAAAAACAGTTGTAAATAAATAATATAAATAATTAAATTCAATTTTGCTTAATATTTGAAAATTAATTTTAAGTAGAAAAGGACACTTATTGTCAGACAAGTAATTTTTGTGAACACAACAGTTTTTCAATAAAAACAGTTGTAAATATTATAAATAATTAAATTCAATTTTGCTTAATATTTGAAAATTACTTTTAAGTAGAAAAGGACACTTATTGTCAGACAAGTAATTTTTGTGAACACAACAGTTTTTCTATAAAAACAGTTGTAAATAAATAATATAAATAATTAAATTCAATTTTGCTTAATATTTGAAAATTACTTTTAAGTAGAAAAGGACACTTATTGTCAGACAAGTAATTTTTGTGAACACAACAGTTTTTCAATAAAAACAGTTGTAAATATTATAAATAATTGAACTCAATTTTGCTTAATAATTAAAATTACTTTTAAGTAGAAAAGGACAGTTATTATCAGACAAATAATTTTTGTGAATACAACAGTTTTTCTATAAAAACAGTTGTAAGTAAATAATATAAATAATTAAATTCAATTTTTCTTAATATTTGAAAATTACTTTTAAGTAGAAAAGGACACTTATTGACAGACAAGTGATTTTTGTGAATACAATAGTTTTTCAATAAAAACAGTTGTAAATATTATAAATAATTGAACTCAATTTTGCTTAATAATTAAAATTACTTTTAAGTAGAAAAGGACAGTTATTATCAGACAAATAATTTTTGTGAATACAACAGTTTTTCTATAAAAACAGTTGTAAATCAATAATATAAGTAATTAAATTAAATCTTGCTTTATAATTAAAATTACTTCTTAGTGGAAAAGGACGCGTATTGTCAGACAAAATAATTTTTGTGAATATGTAGAGCATTATTGTAGATTATTATTATTTTCGGAAATAATTAACCTAGAAGCAATATTTACTTCTCCTTTAATAGAAAAGGTATTTTAGGAAACAAATTTTTTTTAATAGTAAAAATTATTTTTAAGTGAAAAAGGTAAATTTATAGTCAGACATTTTTCCTAGGAAAATATTTTTATCAAAGTTTATTCTTGTCTTATTGTGAGACAAATTTTTTCTTTCAAGTAGAAAAACTATATAAGTCTGACAAAATTTTAATACTGAATATTTTGTTAATAATTTTTTTAAGTAGTAAAAGTAGTCATTGTCAGACAATCGTTTGTTATTAGAAATCAGCAGGATTTTAGTCAAATAATCAATATTTCTACTCATAATAAGTGGAAAAAGACGTTTTTCCGAGGTCAATGTTATTCGCTAGTTCAAGTTGACTTTAAGTAGAAAAAGTGCAGTTATCGTCAGACAATTTTTTATTTTTAGTGTAGATTTTCTTTTTAAAGATTGTTTTTTCCTTTTTTATCAAAAAAATATTCAGTAGAAAAGGACACTTATTATCAGACGAATAAACTTTTAGAATAGAGCAGAAAAAATGTCTGACTATAAATTTACCTTTTTCACTTGAAAATAATTAATTTTTGTAGTCTTAATAAATTACTTAATTAATAAAGTATTGATTATGTTCATATTATAAATATACCTAAATTTAGTTAAAATTGAAAGTAAAATAACCAAAAAAAGTAAATACCTGTTTTAAGTAGAAAAAGTACAGTTATCGTCAGACGGATTTTTTTTCAACAAAATGAAGACTATATTTGCTCAAAAAAAATGTTTACTTTTCTTTGTAGTTGAAAAAGTCATTTTCGCTAGACAAGTTTTTTTCAAGTAGAGAAAATCGATTTTAAGTGAAAAAGTACATTTATAGTCAGACAATTTCTTTTACATTTTTTCGTTTCTATGTGAAATTAAAATCCGCTGTTTGGGAATAAAATCAAATTTTTTTTTACTTTTCGAGTAGAAAATTCGACAATTTGAGAAAACGTGAAAAATTAGAAATTCTCAAGTCTCTGAAATTAGCGTCGACTCTGAATGTCAAAACAATTATTTTTCTGGGGGTTTTTACTTTTTTTCTGGGGTTTTTTTTTTAATTTTAATTTTCCTGTTTTCGAGATTCAAAAAATTTCCATTTATTGTAAATATTCATTTGAAAATTGTTTTTGAAAATGGATTTTGAAAATAAATTCCACTTTAAACGCAAAATCTTTGATAAAATTGTTTCTATTTTTTTTATTTCACAAAGAAATTTTCTTTATGCTTAGCGTCGACGCTAAATTCAATTTCTTCATTTCTCCGCAATTGTCTTAAAACCATATTATATCAAAAGTTTTCATCTAAAGCAAAAAAAAAAATAAAAATAATAATTTTCCTCTTTTAAAAATATAGAGAATTTCTTTGGGTTTATATAAATGATTATTATTTCCAATGAAAATTCCTCTTCAAGGTAGG